AGAAGAGGGCATCGGATCTCATTACAAATGGTTGTAAGCCACCCTGTCGGTGCTGGGAATTGAACTCAGGACCTCTGTAAGAGCAGCCAGTGCTCTTAACCTCTGAGCCATCTGTCCAGCTCCGAAATCAGGATTCTTCAGTCTAGTTCCCGCTAATAATAGTCAAGTAGCCAGCCAGGCCTACATCCAGTCCCTCCAGCAGGCACAGTACCAGCTACCCTCCTGCCCTAAAGATTTCATCACTCACCATGCGCAGATCGGGGCGGTACTTGTTCTTTCGGATCATGTGTCTGATGCTGCTCAGGGTGGCCCGTGCATTCTTGTTGATGGTGGTCCTTACGTAAGAAGTAGCTGGTTTGCGCTGACCTGGTATGGGGAGTCTAGGAGTCAGTCCGTCTGTGCATCTCCCAGATAGGAACACAGAACCTCCTCACCCAAATGACTGCCCATTCAGAACACTCATTAAGGGATCACACAGGTCAGTCTTAACCGAAGACTGTGGAAAACCCATTCCTCATCTTTAAACATCGGATACAGCAGGAATATAGCACAAGCTACTAATCCAGCACTCAGGAGGCAGGTCGAGCTCCTTGAGTTCGAAGCCAGCCTACAGAGTTCCAGGACAGCGAGGTGTAGAGGGCTGTCCTTAAAAGCCACACGATTCTACGTAGAGCTAATTCCCTCAGTGAAGCACTTCTAATTTCTCCACTTCTGACTTACACGGCTGGCAAGGCAGAAGATTCCCCAGGCAACACTAGGGATACTCTGGGCCCTGGAAAAGAGACCTCCTGTCTGCAAAGGCTCACCGGATCTGCGTTTCATGACCACCACGACCCCTTTGCCGTCGGCCGCGGGCTCCACTCCCACTGTCTTGCGGTGGATCAGCCCGTTGTAGCGGAAGGAGTTACGGGCTTTCAGATTATTGGGTTCCTGGAGATGCAGGAGATGGTAAATTCAGGCCGGAAGACACGCGAAGGGCCCACAACCAAGGACCCCAGAATACCTCTCCCACACCGGCCTCACTTACGGTGCTGTACGTCTGCTTATTCCTCTTGATCAGGAAACTGGAGCAGTTCCGAACGACCATCCATTGCAGATGCGCAGACATGGCGGCGCCTACGGGGAAACGGGGCACGTGAAAGATGTGAAGCAGAGAAGCAAGCTAGGCTATGTCGCCCAGGTAACCAGGAGCGCCGGGAAACAACGATGAAAAGCTCCTTCAGGCAGGAACCGGCGACCAAAGGAGGCAAGCCGAACTACGGCGGCTGCGACTGAAAGGTGTGTGGGGGGGGGGGAACTAAGGCTGCACTTCCGGCGGCGATGAGTGCCGCTAATGGCACTTGGCACCAGAAGAGAAAATAGGCTGGAGACTGAGGCGGTGGGCGCGAGATGGCGGCCACGAGGGACGGAGACGACTCACACTCACCTTTTCTTCTATGGCGGACGGAGACGGAAAGAGGAGCGCTAGGGGCGGGTCGACGCCTTTAAAGTGGTAACGCATTTCCGCTTCCTCCCCGGTCGCTCCTGAAGCTGGCCATCCAGCTTCCTCCGGTTCTTGGGTTCCGCCTCCCAGTCGTTTTGGTTGTCGCCTTCGCGTACCGCTCGGAAACCTTCGGAAATCTTCGGCTGGAGATCCGGAGGCTTTCTCGCGGTGGAACGTTGCCCCGCCGTGGGCGGTTGGGAAGTTTTCGGGGGTCAGTGACTGGCTTTCCGAGAGGTTTCGAAAAGTAGAGGCTCACACCATCCCTCTGGTCTGTTCAATTAGCACTTAGCACATGGTGGGCACTAAATAAACATTTTGAAAAAGGCTATTGCTCTCTTATCTATCTGATCCTCCCTTGAGAATACCAGGAGTGCGTCATCACACCAGGCTTAATACTTGATTTTAAGATTTATTTATTTAAAAAAAAATGGTTTGACATAGGGAGTGGGTTGATACAGGATACTTGGTCTAGGGTGTTTTCCCTGCATATCTTGCCCAAAACATCAATTGCTTTCTTTACTCAGGAAATACATGATGTCTCAAGTACTGAAGTAAGTAACTGTTCCAGTTGTCCTTTGTGTCACGTTAAAGCAGTCTTTTGCCTTCTCTCCCGCCCTTTTGTATTGGGATATAAAAGCGTATGAAAAATAAACGTGGGCGAATTCAGTAGTAAGTATTCAGCTGAATTGCCCTCCCTGTTATAAAAAGAGATTTATTTATTTTTTAAAGCCTATTTCTTTTTTATTTTATGTGCATTGGTTTTTTTTTTTTATCTGCTTGTATGTCTGTGTGAGGGTGATAGATCCCCTAGAACTAAAATTACAGACAACCGAGCCATTTCTGTAGCCCCTACTTATTTCTTTTTATGTAACATGTATAAGTTTTTATGATTTGGGTTTGTGTGTGTGTGTGTTTTATTGTTTTTGCCTGGATATATGTTTGGGGGCTATGTGTTTGCCTGGTGCCTGCAGAGGCCAGAGGAGGGAACCAGGCAAGAGTTACAGCTGTGGACCATCACGTGGGTGCTGGGAATAAAATCTGGGTCCTCCAGGTGGATCTCCATGAGTTCGAGGCCAACCTGGTCAACAGAGCAAGTTCCAGGACAGGCTCCAAAGCTACAGAAAAACCCTGCCTCGAAAAACAAAACAAAACAAAAAAAATGCTGGATCCTCTGGAAGGACAGCCAGTACTTTTAACTGAGTCATCTCTCCAGCCCCAGATTTATTTATTTTTAGTTATGATGTATGGGGGTGTTGTGTTCACATGTGAAGTGCAAGAACCCTCAGTCCAAAAGAAATCTAATCTCCTGGAGCTAGAATTAGAGGCAGCTGTTAGCTGCCACATGAGTGGGTGCTGGGAACCAAACCATGGTCCGCTGCAAGAAAAGCAAGTGACCTTACGCTCTGAGCTGTACTCCTGTCCTCATGACATGATAAATGGATGAATAGGCTGTTTTAAGCACTGATGTGGCATGGAGACTTCAGGACGGTTCTGTTTTTCTTCATGATCACAGAACTGTCTCCCAGGAGAGCACCAGTGCCCAGCAGGCCACTGTCAGACCTCTTTTCTCACCGGTCAAGTGGATCTCTGTGAGTTCGAGGCCAGCCTTGTCTACAAGAGCTAGTTCCAGGACAGCTAGGGCTGTTATACAGAGAAACCTCAAAAAAAAAAAAACAAAAACAAAAAAACAACAACAACAACAAAAAACCCCAACTTTATTATCTCATGCCTGGCTCAGTCTATGCAGAAATACTCCATGTCTGTCCTTAGCAATAGCTCACAGCAATCTGCTCTACAGTCTTTTTAATGTTTTGTTAGCATTTATTAATTATGTATAAAGTGGGTTTATATATTTTCATATGTGTATATAATGTATTTTGGTCATAGTCAGACACCCACACCCACACTCTTGTCCCTTCTCCCATGGCTGTTAATTTGTATGTGTGTGTGGTGTGTGTGTGTGTGTATGTCCCAGGGAGTGTCCTTTGTATTGTTTACAGGCTCATGGGTGGGAGTCTGTTTACAGGAGCAAATACACTTTACAGTGGCTACATCACTAAGGAACATCTAACTTCCTCCTCCATCCATCATCCTGAATCTTCTTCAACTCTGAAACTAGACAGTCTTGGGAGAACCTAGACAGAACTGTCCCGATGTTTCCTTCACTCGGGGGGAGCAGATGTGTGGGAGATCAGGGGTTTCCTGTAACTGCTGTTGGTTCCCTTAGTATTCCACACGGCCCCCCACCTCAGAGTGCCTCAGAGTGCCCTGGCCATATCCACTAAGTCAAAACCATCTTCAGGGATCAGCTTCCACAGCAGGAAAGGATGTTTTCTAGATGCATCTATCAATAAAAAAAGCCACAGTTTCCACCAGTTAGTAGTGGCCCAAGCATTCAATCCCAGCACTTGGGAGGCAGAAGCAAGCGGATCTCTGAGTTCGAAGCCAGCCTGGTCTACAAAGCGAATTCTAGGGCAGATACATAGAAAAACCCTATCTCGAAAAACAAAAAAAAAAAAAAATAAATAAACAAACAAAAAGCCACAGTTTCCATGCCACCTCCTTTGGGACACCATTCCTGGGAAGTTCGGGAATTGTGTGTCTAGGAACTACGTGAGGGTAGGGGTTTTGTCAGGGTCACATCTGACTAGCGCAGCCCGCAGCCCTGACCTTCGTGTACTGATGGGTTCATTTTCCCACCTTGAGTTCACACGGCCCTGCAGTGAACACAGGAGATCCCCAAAGAGCAAGAGTTTCGGGGTTCTGCCTGCTGATCTTGTGCCCCAGAGAATGTTTTTCTGCTGTGATTGACAAGTGCATGCTAAGCTTTACCAGGGGAGCTACATTCCCAGCCTGCCCAGCGATTGTTTCTGATCACCATTTGGGTACACCATGGGTCAGGTGGAGGCCGCAGGAGGCAGGCGCTAAATAATCACAGAGATGGCTCAGCGTTTAAGAACACCTGTTACTCTTACAGAGGAGCTGATTCTTAGCACCGACATGGTGGTTCACAATCATCCATAACCTCAGTTCCAGTGGATCCAATAACCTCTTCTGACTTCTGTGGGCACCAAGTGTGCACGCACAGGGTGTACTCACACACACACACATAGGTAGGCGAAACACACATAAGATAAAATGAATATATCTGCCGGGCGGTGGTGGCGCACGCCTTTAACCCCAGCACTTGGGAGGCAGAGGCAGGCGGATCTCTGTGAGTTTGAGACCAGCCTGGTCTACAAGAGCTAGTTCCAGGACAGGCTCCAAAACCACAGAGAAACCCTGTCTCGAAAAACCAAAAAAAAAAAAAGAATATATCTAATAAAAATTATTAAAAAAAAACAACAACATCTAGCTAACTCCATTTCGCCTTCTTCAAGTTTGGCCCTAGTCACCTGGCGCCAGGGCAGGGTCGTGCGCCGGCTGCTGCTCCCTCCCAGACTTGAGCCACCTGGCTGTGAGCTCCAGTCTGGCTCAGGTGACCATGCAGGCATTGGGCACACCTGGCGCCGGGCCCTGACCCCGCCCCGGGCAGCCTCACCCCGGGACGTTCTCGGGGAGCAGGCGGCGGCGGGGCACCGAGCGCCATGGCGGCGGTGTCACCGGTGTGCGGCTCACAGGCGTCACCGGTCGGCGCCTCGTCCCCACCGGCGCCCGCACCGGCTCCGGCCACCGGCCTGGGCCGCTGCCGCATGGCGCTGCTGCTGGCGGTAGCCTTGGACGTGGCGGGCATGGCGGCGCTTCTGACCGGCGTGTTCGCGCAGCTGCAGGTGCGTGGCCGCGACTTCGGGGACCTGCTCATCTACTCTGGGGCGCTGCTGGTCTTCTTGAGCCTGCTGGGCTGGATCCTCTGGTACACCGGCAACATCGAGATCTCGCGCCAGGAGCTCGAGCGCGACTACGGCCTGAGGCCCTCGGCGATCGCACGCCTTGCGCGCAAGCTGTCCCGCCGCTGGTCGGCGCCCGCCACCGCCGGTCCCCGGGCGTCACCGGGTCTCCGCGCAGCGCGCAGAGCCGCCCGCACGCCCCAGACGTCCGCCTCCGGCTCCCGCCGGGTGCGTCTGCAGCTCGCCACGCTCGAGGCGGGGCCTGGAGCGGCGGGCGCGGGCAGCGAGTGAGCCCCAGGTGAGGACACGTAGAAAGAGTGAGAGGTGATGGTGGGGAGACTGACACGTCGCCGAAAGGGGAGGCAGGAGGGGAGTGAGTCAGAGATAGCAGAGACGCTGAAGGATGGGTGGGACAAGGTTAGCCATCCCAGCGCACCCTCCCTTTGCTCCTTTACTCCACGTGCAACAGGCCTCATTCCATCCGCTCTCTGTACTCAGTTCTCTGAGTTCATTACTTTTACTGTACAATAAGGGAGGTGCCACTCTTGTCTGGACCACACAGTGTGCAGGTGGAAGAGCGCCATTTGTCCAGACCTGCTGCCCTAATGAGAAGGCAGAGACCAAGAAACAGTGGGCACGTGGCGAGGGAAATCACCCTCATTCCCTTCCCTTCCTCTGCTGTTTTTTTGTTTTGTTTTGTTTTTAAGAAAAGTTCTCACGATGTAACTGGCAGTCCTGGGACTTGATTTATAGACCAGACTGCCCTTGCCCTTGAATTCAGAGAGGTTGGCTTGCCTCTGCCTCCCTAGTGCTGGGATTAAAGGCATTCTCCACCACTACTGGAGTTACAGGCGGTTTCTTTCTCCCTCCCTCTCTCTCCCTTTACCCCATTCTCTCTCTCTCTCTCTCTCTCTCTCTCTCTCTCTCTCTCTCTCAAAGAACTCTTAACCATGCATCTATCTCTCCAGCCCTCCAAATTTATTTTTTAATTACGCTTATCTATTTGTGTACATTTGTGGCACAATGATTTTGTGGGCATCTGTTCTCCTGTTCTCTCCTGCCACCATGTGGGTCCTGGACATCAAACTCAGGTCATCAGACCTAATTGGTAAGCACCTTTACCCAATGAACCTGGCTTGCCTGGTTAAACTCAAGTCCTTTGGAAGAGCAGCCAGCGCCTTTAACCACTAAACCATCTCTCCAGCCTTAAACACACTTCTTTGGCTTTCCTGCTCTTGCTCAAAGACGAGCTAGGACTCCCTCTCTTGCCCTCTTATTAAACCCAGGCCACTTGCCAATGTGTGGAACCTCTTCCTTTTAGTTCTGCTTCTTCCACATGCTTTTGTTCGTTTGTGTTTCCTTTTTTCATATAGCCTTTCTTTTTTTTCTTTCTTTTTTGAGACAGGGTTTCTCTGTAGTTTTGGAGTCTGTCCTGGAACTAGCTCTATAGACCAGGTTGGCCTCAAACTCACAGAGATCCGCCTGCCTCTGCCTCCCGAGTGCTGGGATTAAAGGCGTGCACCACTACCATCCAGCTCGTTTGTGTTTATTTTTCAAGACAAGAGTTTCTCTGTGTAGCTCTGACTGTCCTGGCACTCGCCCTGTAGACAAGGCTGTTCTCAAACTCAGAGCTCCTCCCGAGTGCTGGGATTAAAGGCCACTGCCCGGCGGCTAGCTCCTTCCACACTTTATTTGCACTTCCATCTCTCAGACCACAGACAGACAGACAGGCAGACAGACGTCCTTCTAACTAGGAGGGTCCTTGCTGTCCACAGTCCAGCCAGGAAGCTTCCTGCGTGTTCTTTAGGCACCACCTTGCTCCTTTGCCCTCCTTTGAGTATTTCTTTTTTTTTTTTTAGAATTTTATTTATTTATTATGTATACAATATTCTGTCTGTGTGTATGTCTGCACGCCAGAAGCGGACACCAGACCTCATTACAGATGGTTGTGAGCCACCATGTGGTTGCCGGGAATTGAACTCAGGACCTTTGGAAGAGCGGGCAATGCTCTTAACCACTGAGCCATCTCTCCAGCCCCTCCTTTGAGTATTTCTGTTGTCTGAGCCACTCCTGTTGCTGCTCAGATAGCCATAGAGTCCGTCTCTGGGAGCTGGTTCTCACGGCTGACGGTAAAGCCCAGCCAGATCTTTGGTGTCTTTGTTCCTAACACTACCCAGCAAAAACTGTGAACTCAGGAAAGGTTGATGATGGATAGGCAAGTGGAAGGATGGATCAAGAAGTAGATGGCGGATGGAGGATGGATAAATGTGTTACAGATTGATGAATGGAGGGTTGGTAGATGGATGGATGCATTTTAGTTGATAGATGAGAGGATGGATAATGGATGAGTTGGCTGATGGATGGGGTGGATTGATGATGAATGGTTTATAGAAGAGTTGATTGATGAATTGGGTGCATGGGAGCAGACAGAATTGATGAATGGATTTGTTGATGGATGGATAAAATGGTGAATAGATGGTTTTGTTTTTGAGACAGGGTCTTGCTGTGTACCCCAGGTTCACAGTGTGGGGTCTTCCTGCTTCAGCATCAGATTAGATAATAGGTAGATGTAATATGTGAATGGGTGTGTGAATAAATAGGATTGGATGGATAGAAGCTCGTGAGTGGTTGGATGGATAGTTTGGGCAGGTAGATGTGTGACTAAGTGGATGGGTGTGTAGGTGGATTGGAATGAATGGATGATTTCCTCGGTGGGATTTCTGTACAAGAATTAAATCCTAAAACCTTCTGGGTGTGTGTCTGTGTGCTCATGCACGCACACTCGCACGGGTGGGGTGCACTAGTGAGTGCAAGTCAGAGGACAGCTTTCATGAATGGGTTCTCTCCTTCCACCATAGAGTTTAGATTGTCAGGATTCTATGGCAAGCACTTTTACCTATTAGCCATCTCACTAGTCTAAGATACTCTTACTTTTCTCCTGGGCATCCAGAGTAATATGAATTTGATTCTGTACTTTGTGAGAGCTAAGGATTGGATTCTATGTTCTATAGTTCAAAGGAGGAAAGTGAAAGAATGAGCAGCAAAGCTGGGCTGTAAGGGCGTGCACCTTTAATCCCAGCTCCGGAGGCAGGGGCAGGCAGATCTTTGTGAGTTCAAGGCCAGCCTGGTCTATAAAGCGAGTTCCAGGACAGCCAGAGCTGATCCACACGGAAACCGTATCTTGATAAACCAAAGGGGAAAAAAATGAACTGGGGGTGTATGTAGTTCAGCTGTACAGAGCTTACCTAGAATTCATGAACCCTGGGTTCAATTCTGAGCACCACATAAAACCAGACGCAGTTGGTAATCCTATAGTTCCAGCACTCAGGAAGTTCAAGACCAGCCTAATGTACATAGTGAGTTCCAGGCTAGCCAGGACTGTAATAGTGAGACTGTTTCAAAACACCAGAAGAGGGGCTGGAGAGACGGCTCAGAGGTTAGGAACACTGGCTGCTCTTGCAGAGGGCCTGAGTTCCATTCTTAGCACCCACATGTTGGCTCACAAGTGTCTACAATTCCAATTCCAGGAAATCTTATGCATTCTTCTGGCCTCCAAAGGCATAAGACACATGTGTGGTACACAAGCAGGCAAAATATTCACACACATAAAATAAAAAATAAACCTTAGCCGGGCGATGGTGGCGCACGCCTTTAATCCCAGCACTCGGGAGGCAGAGGCAGGCGGATCTCTGTGAGTTCGAGACCAGCCTGGTCTACAGAGCTAGTTCCAGGACAGGCTCCAAAGCCGCAGAGAAACCCTGTCTCGAAAAACAAAAAAAAACAAAACAAAAAAACAAAAAATAAACCTTAAAACATACATTGTGGTGGCTCACACCTTTAATCCCAGCACTCAGGAGGCAGAGACAGGTGGATTTCTGTGAGTTCCAGGCCAGCCTGTTCTACAGAGCAAGTTCTAGGACAGCCAGGGCTACACAGAGAAACCCTGAACCCTGTCTCAAAAAACCAAACACACACATAATATTTAAAGACTCAACAGTCATGTATATGTGAAGCATGAAGAAATGTTGGATTACAACATTTGACATATGCCAAAATAACCATCTGTAGTTAAACTGATTCTTGTAGATCCTGGACATTACTCAGAAGTGTGCGTTTGGATAGACCTTAAAGAACTTGAATTTTGACACAAAGGTATTCTCTTCTTTTTTTGTTTTTTTTGTTTTTGTTTTTCAAGGCAGGGTTTCTCTGTAGCTTTGGCACCTGTCCTGAAACTCACTCTGTAGACCAGGCTGGCGTTGAACTCACAGAGATCTGGCTGTCTTTGTCTCCGAGTGTTGGGATTAAAGGCATGGGCCACCACCGCCAAGCGTGGGCAAATTTTTTCCTCCTCCCTCTCTTTCCCTTCCTCCTCCCCCTCTTCCTCCTTCCTTTCCTTTCGTAACATAATCTCATTACAAAGGGTGGCCTTGAACTTCCATATAGGTAGGGCTGGACTTTTAATGCCTGGTACTCTCCTGCCTCTTAAATGCTGAGGTTACAGGTGTAAGCCACCTCATCTGACTTGGTTCTTTTTTGGTTTGTTTTTCATTTTGTTTTTAATTACATTTGTGTCTTTGGGGTATGTGTGTATCTGTGTGCTCTGGAGTGCAGAGAGGTGTCGGAGGAGAACCAGCGGGCGTGCTCACCATGCAGGTCCAGGGCAGCAAACAGGTTTTCAGGCTTGGTAGCAAGCAACCTTACCTATCTCTCCAGCCACTTGTTTTGTTTTTAGTCAGAATCTCACTGTCTGTGTCCCAGGCTGGCCACTAAGCCACGCCTTGCACACTGGCCTTGAAAACCCTCTTTCCCAATCTTCCAGGTGTTGGGATGCCCCCAGCTGTTTCTCTCTTTATTTTTGCCTGTTTTCTCCATCTCTGTTCATCTCCCTGCCTTTGTGACTCCCTAGGTCTGTTCCTGTGCCTCTCTTGGCTTTTTTCCTGTTACTGTCTCACCTGTATCAGTGGATTCTAGTGAGCTAAAAGCACACACGTTTGTGCGCACACACTCTTGGGGCTCTGCAGCGAGTGTTCATCAGTGAGTAAGGGGCTCCTCAGCTCATGGGAGGGGACCCCAGAAGAGGAGCAATCCTAATTAGTCACTAACCCCACCTTTCCTTCCCACAGACAGCCTCATCCCCCCGGACCTACAGATGCGCAGCTGCCCCGGACATCACGCAGCCACCAGGATACCCGCCTGTTCTCTCACTTGGATAAATGTCTCGGTTTTGGAGCACTGTTTGCCTATCTGGTTAAGGGCCTGAACTGGTGAAGGAGAGTGATATACCCTTCCTGCCAGGCCAAGCCACCTTTTATCTAGGATGCCCTAGACTTCTCACTGGCCCTCCACTAGGGGCACTGGGGAGGTGAGAGGATCTAGAGTGCAGACCCATGCATCCAGCCCAGACATCCATTAGGGTAGTTTGGGTCTTCCAAGAACAGAAACGGGGGTATACTTGCAAGCTATTTACTGCGGGAGGGTGGTCCTTATCGAGGGTGGCATTGTTGCAGGATGCCTCCAAGACTAGGAGAGAGAGCTAATGGGCAGGCTGAGTCTGAATGCAGACAACACACTTCCAAGAAAAGACTTGGCCAGTGGGGACTCCAGGACAGCTGAAGTCCTTGCTGGATGGTGCCCATACTCCTCTTCTTCTTTTTTTAAATGTGCATTGGTGTTTTGCCATGGGTGTCGAATCTCCTGGAACTGGATTTACAGACAGTTGTGAGCTGTTATGTGGGTTGCTGGGGATTGAACTCAGGTCCCCTGGAAGTACTGTCAGAGCTCTTAACCATTGAGCCTGTTTCCAGCCCCAAGCCCATACTGTTGTGTACTCACTCAGGCATTGGTGCTACGGGGCAGGAGAAGTGTGAGAGCAGGGGTTTGTCAGCAGTGCTCCCTGAAACAGGACAACCTAGGACACTTCCCATGGATATGTATGTTCCTAATACCCCAAGTTGTCCTACTGCAAGCTCACTTCCTTGTAGCTCACCACAAGCTCCCTCACCCAGAACAACCTCTGGTCCCCTTCCACAATTCAGACACACACTACCTGTCCCCAGAACTCACTCAAACCAGACCCTCACATACACTTAATTCATGGCCCCCAATCCTAACAACCCAGTGTGCCCACTCAGTCCCTTGCCCCATAAGCTTTCTCGAAATCCACACGGAGCATGGTGGTTCCCATAAAGCCACCTGCTCCCCACGGATCTCCAAACAAGACACACATTTATATGCCGTATCTATATTGAGGGGTCCTATAGGGCTGCCCCTAATCATCATCTCCCTCTGTATCCTCCGCGGCTTCTGTAGCTTCCTGTTCGGTGCCTCCTCCTGAGTGTTCGAGCACCTCCATGGGCACCGAGACAGGTGTGCCAGCTGTGGTTGACTTCTTGCTGACCGATGGTCGGTCCTTAGACAGTAGGGAGACTGTCCGGGACAGCTCGCATTTCCCCACGAGAAACCGTGGCAGGTGCAGCTTGTCTTGGCGCTTGGCCCACCTGGTGGGGAGAGCATATTTCAGCCAGAACTGCCTGCACCTTGTGTGGGGAGCCAAGCCTGCGGCTCGCCCACTGCACTCACCAGAAGAGGCAGATGCTGGCGATCAGGAAGAGCAGGCTTCCGCAGGTCCAGCCCAGCGCCCACATGTGCTTCCTGCGCATATTTTCTAGAAAAGGGGGAAGAGGAAGGTCCAGGGGTCCAGTGGTTGTACCCCTCACTCTCTCAACATCCAGATTTGGACCAGGCCACTCACCGTCTGGCCGTTGATGATAGCACACACCGTCCCGGTAGCAGCATCGCAGGCGGAGGCAGAGGTTGGGGTTCTCAATGGCGGCCTGACCCCCACAGCTCTCTCGGTCCCACACATCTCCCTCACAACCTGAGGGCCACCACAATAGACAGTAACAGAACTGGCCTCGAAGGCTACAGACACAAGGGTGCCAAGGCCAGGCTGTGGGGCTGGGGTGCTGTGTTTTGGACACTATTGTACATAGGACCCACAAGTCCAGACCCATCCCTCCTCCCTCAGACCTGGACCCCAGACCCCAGACCCCTTCCTTGAGAGGGTCCATACCACAGCCCTCCTCCCTCAAACCTGGGAGTCAAGGCCCAGCTCTCCTTACTGAGACCTCAGACCCAGGGTTCTAGGCCCCAGTCCTTCTTCAGACACAGGAATCAAAGCTCTAGCTCTCTTCCTTTATAATCAGAGTTTACAGGCTCTTCATCACCTTCAGACTTAGGGGTTGAGTCCCTTGATCTACCTCAGATCTAGGGGTCCAGGCCTTAGCACCCCTCTCTATACCCAGGGCTGACTTCCTGGAACTCTTTCTTCTGATCTGAGGGGTCTAAGCCTTAGCCTTTCCTCCAGACCTAGGGATCAGGCTCCACTTTTCCTCCCTCAGACCCCAAAGTCAAGGCTTCAGCCCTTGAGACCCAGAGGTTATGTTCCTAGATCCAGGAGTCCACACCCCAGCCTTTCTCCCTCAGACCCTGCAGTCTTAATTTGGGATCCCCTCCCTGGAGCCCCAGGATTCTGTCTCCTGCTTACTCCATGGATAGAAAAATCCCTGGATTCCATTCGCATCTGTGGGAGAAAAGGGGTGGTGTTGGGAGATTGTATGGCAGCCAAGGTGGCCCTGTCCACAGCCCCCTAATGTCCTTATCAGTACCCTCACCTACTGAGCCCAGCATCAGCAGGAGAAGGCCCAAAGCTGGAACCCCAGACCCCACCATGTTACCTCCCCAGACCTCTGGGCCCTCTGTGGAGAGAAACCTTGAAGGACATCACCCTAGCAACAACTTGGCCCCGCCCCAAAACCTCAGCCCCAGAATTCTTAGTTCTGTTGCCAGGGAGTTCCCTTAGCAAGGGGTTCACAAGGAGGGGTGCCCTGGACGAAGTAGCTTCCCTTAGCATCTATGGAGAAGAGGTGGGTGGGCATGGGCGATTTCAGATTTAGAGCCTTCTTAGCAAAGGACAAGGGAACGAGAAACCAGGGTCTGGAGATGTTTCTCCTTTTCCATGGGGTACCTGACAGGGTACAGATCTGGGACAGGAGAGATCTCTGAGCTACAGAATTCCTTTCTTTCCTAACCCAGTGTCCTCGAGTGGTCCAAGTTCAGAAAGCCTCATTGCTAGGGAGTCTGCTTTAGCAACCAGGAAAAATGGCCCTAAGACATTCAGGTCTCATTGAGCCCCATTGTTAGAGAAGGTTTCCCCAGCAACCAAAGCAGGAGGAGGAAGGGATAGTGCTGGCTGATGGAGGTGGCCCTGGGAGTCTCAGTCTGCACCAGGCCTCACATGCCAGGGACAGGACTGACCATGCCTAGCCCAGCTGAGCTTGAGGTGTAGTGTAGACACTGTTAGTGGTTGTGATGGTGTCTCATGCCAAAAGTTCCAGGTCCCCACAGAGACTCAATTCCCCATGAGGGAGCACAAACCAGAGCATCTCAGGTTGTTTTCTTTGTGTTTGGTCTATCCAAGTTTGCCGAGGGACCAGGCCTACAGGAAGCCAGACTGGCATGGGAGACAGTGTCTCTATGGTTTCTAGTTCACCTGAGTCAATATCCACTTGGCATAATGAGAAGGGGACTTCAGTTCCTGACAGACTGACAGTCTGCAATTGGCTCTGGACTCCTGGAGTGTCTGGGGCATGGACCCCTGCTATGAGGGAGGGAGGAGGGCTGGGAAATGGGATCCCTGGATCTGGGGTAGTGGCAAGGTCTGGGGAATTGAACCCTTAGGTCTGAGGAAGCGGGAGAGCTGGTGATGGGAACCATGGATTGAAGGGAAGAAGCAAAGCTGGAGTCTGGGTCCCTGGGGCTAAGTAGGAAAGGAGGACTAGGTCCTTATCTTTATCTGAGGGAGGAGAAGTGGGTATAGGACCCTAAGTGGGTCTGAGCAGGGAAAGCTAGGTCTTGCAGTCCTAAAGCTTGGATATGAACCCATGAATCTAAGTAGGGGAGAAGGCTAGATAGATCCTAGACTCCAGGATATCAAGGAGGGTTCCCAAAGTCTGAGGGAGGAGTTAGGGTCTGGACCCTTGATTCTAAGTCTAGGGCCTCCAGGATTCCAGATCTGAGGGAAGAGGGCTGTTGTCCATTCTGTGGGAGGGAGGGGTCTGAGTTCAGATCCTGTTTCCCAAGAAGCCTAGGAGGAGGCTGTATCCCTTTCATCCCCAGGGCCGTCAGTAAACATCCTAGAGGGTGCTGAGTGGGCCCTAGGCTGACTCCGTCAGAGATGACACAGGTCCGAGGGGGCTCGGCAGGGGGTATGGGGGTGGGGGTCAGAGGGGTTGTGGGGCTGAGGCCGGGCAGCTGCTGACCGTTTCCTGTGTCAACACCATCTGGACCCACTTCCCAATTCCCTGGATTCCTCAGGGATCAAGGAGGGGGTGGGGGTGGGGCTGCTTGGCGCTGGACTGCGGATTGGGATTGGGGGGGGCACCGTCAAGGCCCTCACCACTAATGACAGGTTTGGGCTGCCTCTGTGGCTGACCTGCCCCGTCACCCCCCAGAGGCCAGACAGGACCCCCCAGGGACAGACAGACGGACACACACAGCCTGGGATGTGCTGACATCACACCCAGCCAGCACCAGCTCACCCAGGGGTGAGCACAACATCAAGGCACCCGTGGCTGGACCCCCACATCCTAGGGACCCTCCGAGACCTTCTGCTCTCCCCCTCTCTCTGTTTTTGAGTACTCAAGCTGGTCTCCCCAGGACTCATCTTTCCTTGCATCTGTCTTCTTGTCACGAGACTTTGAGATTCTGTTTGTGTTTGTTTGTCTCCGCTACCTTCCGTCATTTGGGGGGATTCCCAGAGTCTCCCATCCCGTCTGTCTCTGTCTTTGTCTTATTTCCAGAGATTTGCTATTCCTACCCTCACCAAAGGAAGACCCAGGAGTCCCAAGTCCACTCTGTCCTTTGTGGTCACCCTGGGGACGATGAGTCTTTCCCCACAACCCTCAGGGTGAAGAGTGAGGCAGGACTAAAAACTAGCCCCAGCCCACGACCCAGACCCATGAACTTTCTCAGACACAGAGGTCCCACAATTGTTGGACATCACAGTTTTCTTCCACTTATATAAAAATGAGAATTTAGTACCCTGGGTCTGAGGGAGGAGGGCTGGGGTCTATACACTGGGTCTGATGGAGGAGGCTGGGGTCTGTACTCTGGGTCTGATGGAGAAGGGCTGGGGTCTGTCTATACACTGGATCTGATGGAAGAGGCTGGGGTCTGTGCACTGGGTCTGAGGGAGGAGGCTTGGGTCTGTTCTCTGGGTCTGAGGGAGGAGGCTGGGGTCTGTTCTCTGGGTCTGATGGAGGAGGCTGGGGTCTGTGCATTGGGTCTGATGGAGAAGGGCTGGAGTCTATACACTGAATCTGATGGAGGAGGCTGGGGTCTGTGCACTGGGTCTGAGGGAGGAGGCTTGGGTCTGTTCTCTGGGTCTGAGGGAGGAGGCTGGGGTCTGTGCACTGGATCTGAGGGAGGAGGCTGGGGTCTGTGCTCCTCGGTCTGATGGAGGAGGGTTAGGGTCTGTATACTGGATCTGAGGGAGGAGGGTTAGGATCTGTACACCAGATCTGATGGAGGAGGACTGGACTAGAGCCCTGGGTCTGAGAGAAGAGAGCTAGTGTTTGCAGTCTGGGTCTGAGGGAGGAGGCTTGGGTACCTATGACCCTGGGTCTTATGGAGGAGGGCTGGGGTCTGGAGCCCTGGATCTAAGGGAGGGACAGGGTCTGTACCCTGTGTTTGAACTTAACCCTCTCAAGAGGGTTAAACCCCTGAGACCCTGGGCCTGAGGGAAAAGGCTGGGGTGTGTGCCCAGGGTTTGAGGAATAGGGGAGATGAAGAGGTGATGGTATGAGTTCTTGAATCTCAGTTGGGGGAAGGGGCGAGCATTTGCAGTCCCTGGTATTGGTCCAGGTCTGGCTGCAAGCCCAGTCCCCTATCCCCTCAGGCCAGTCCATTCCCCAGGCTGGTGGCCTGAGTCACCTTGGCTAGCCCACATGGTCTGAGGGGGGGGGCTACGTCAGTTCTCCCCTCACTGACGCAGCCTTGGGCCCCCCACGCTGACTCAGCCGGAAACAGGCCCCCTGAGGGGCGGAGACCCAGTGGTCAGAAGCCTGGGTCCCAGCAGGAGCAGGGGCTGAGGAGGGCCCCTGGGAGGCCCCTCAAAGGGGTGGTGTGACAGACCATGAAAGGGAGAGAAAGAGCTCTTACCTGAGGCGATGAGGTCATGTCCCACCATGGGGGGCTGTGACCTCACCTCCTGGGGGATCTGAGCAGTTCTCCCCCCCTAGTGGTGGAAGGTGGGGAGGGGACGTCTTTGGCTGCCAGTCAGTCCCAGAGCCAGCTTCCCCCCACCCCCCAATCTCCAGCCAATGCATTAGTCCCAAAGGCAGGCATGGGTGGTCTGCACAGAGATTTTTATTTTTATTTTTTTTTGAAGTCTAAGTCACTGACCTGTGCTCAGAGCCATGGCATTCTCCTCCTGAGGAGGAGGCTTCTGGAGATGGGCATGAATTCCTCTGCCCTGTCTCTTAAAGGGCTGTGAATTCTGAGCCAATAGTAGGCAGTCATTCAATGAACATGGTCGTGTGGGCATTGCTGTAGTCTGCATGCTCTGCTCTTACCTGGATAGACAAATATCATGCCCCCCTTCTCTGGATGTGACTTTGTCTTTGTTCCAAGTACCTACCCACTCGTTTCTGCCATCTTTCCCAGGGGCTCCCCATGTCCCTGGAAGACTGATAACTGTAACCCTGAGACCAGCAATGGTTCCCTGGTAGTCACTGCACATCACTCTCACGGTGGCATTAGCGATAGGAAGGTGTGTGTGTGTGTGTGTGTATGTGGGGGTGGGTAGTTGTGCCTGTGTGCAAGTGCACAGAGGCCGGGCGGGGTGGGGGGACAATAGGTGCCCTGCTCAACTCTCAACTTTATGCCCTGGAGAGAGGGTCTCCCATTGAACTGGGAGCTAGGCTGGAAGACAGCAAGCCCCAGGGAGCCTGCCGTCTCCACCTGCTCCGTCATGGTGCTGCAGATTCACATCTCGGTGGGGGATTCAACTTGGGTTCTCAGGTTTGTGCACCAGACACGTTTACCCACTGGCCATCTCGTCAGCCCCGTCTACAGATGAGAGAATTGAGGCAGCAGGGGGTGGTGGTTGGTGGTGTGGCAACACGGCCAGAGACATCTGTGGAGGACCTCCATGCCTCTTTCTTTTGGCCCTTCCATCTTGTCTCCTCAGCATATCATCTGACTTCTGTCTCTCAGGTGACCCCATCTTTAGTCACCCTGCTTTGCTATCTCCATAGGCTTTGTACATTCTTCTGCAGCCAGCTTCTTCTCTCCAGGGCCATGTCCCTCTTCCCCTCTGGTTCTTTTTAAAAATAGGGTCTCAGGTAGCCCAGGCTGGCTTCAGGCTCACTCTATAGCTACAGATGACCTTGAACTCCTGAACATCCTGCCTCTAAGTGCTGAGACCACAAGGTGTGCACCATCACAACCAGTGCTGGGAGTAAAACCAGGCAAGGCCTTTATGCATGCTAAGCCAGCACTCTGAACTGAGCCATGCCCCTCAGCGCCTCAGTTTCCCCGCATCTGCATGTCAGAGACTGCGGACCTCTCTGTCCTACGGTCCCCACCTCTGGGCATCTGTCAGTCGCCCTCTGTTTCGGAGTCGCTACCTCAGTCCCAGTGTTTTCATCCCTCCTTGTCACTTAGACTTTCCCTCTCATCTCCATCTCCCCAGGCCCCTGACTGGCCTCTCCTCCTGTCTCCCCATCGCTCCAGAAGGGCTAGTGCGGGTCCATCCAGACCCCCACCCACAGCCCAGGCTCCATGGAGCTCTTGAGCCTTGTGTGTGTATCCCAGCCCGTGGAGGTGGAGGGAGGGGACGCCAATGACCTCACCGGCCCCTCTCAGACCACCCCCCCTTCACTTTTCAACTTTTCCAACTTTTCCTTCCGTGCCCTCCTCCGAGCAAGGCGGTGTGAGCCCTGCTAGGCAGCCGGCTAGTCTGAATGGAAAAGGCAGGAGGGAGGGTGAGTCAGGATGTGTCAGGCCGCCCTCCCCTGCTGCCTGCCCCCCGCCCGCCCGCCCCGGCCCCCTATATAACCCCCCAGGCGTACACACTCCCTCACTGCCTGGCCCTTGCTGCTCACACTCACATACCTCCCCTCCCCAGGCCGAGGCCCAGCTGACCCCCTGGGATCCCCCGGCAGCGGACAGGGAAGGGTTAAAGGCCCCCCCGGCTCCCTGCCCCCTGCCCTGGGGAACCTCTGGCCTGTGGGGACATGAACTGTAAGTTGGTTCCAGTTCATGGGGTGAGGGGACAGGGTGGGGGGGAAGGAGGAAAGGATTGAGGGGGGTGGGGAGGGTGGGAAGCAAAGTAGGGACAGACGGCCGAAGAGAGGGAATCATGGGGAGTCAGATGGAACGAGAAGGAATAGTCAGAAAAGTGGGAGTTTGAGAGAAGAGATGGACAGAGAGAGACATAGATAAAACGCAAGTAAAAGAGAGAAGATACAGACAGACACTATCAGGGTCAGATCCTGGGAGATGATACTGAAGGGTCCGGGTATCCCGGGGAGACAGCGGGGAGCGAGGGACAGAGACAACCATGAACTCCAACTGCGAAGCTCTGGGAGGGAAACTGAGGCAGAAAGTCCCAGATGATGACAGCAAGACACAGAGGAGGCAGGGGAGGCAGACGAGAGAGGGGTGTGGACAGAGAGCTTAAAGAGCCAGACAGATGCGCACCGGCCGGGGACGGGCGCACCGATAGACGGCCGGCCAAGGAGGGGCTGCGAAGGACTGGCTACAGCCAGAGGGGACCAAGGGGGCGGGCTGGGGGTGTGATACAGGAGCTTGGAGGCCAGGGGGGCTCTGATTGGCTGTCTGGCTCGGAGGTGGGCGGAGCAGCTGGGGGATGGGCAGCCGGCAAAGGAGCTGTCCCTAGCCCCTGAGCCCCAACGCGGCCAGCCGGGTCTCCAGCTGCCTGCGTCCCTGAGCGCTTCTCAGACCAGGTGCGCCCAGGTCCTCCCCGACTCAGCGGCCTAGCCTTCCGCGGCCACCTTTGTGGACATATGGGAGGGAGTCCGGGGCGCCTCCCTGGAGAGAAATCGGTGTGTTCGGATGTCAGCTCCAGACTCTGGCTCCTTCCCCTGTTCCCAGGCCGGCTCAGGCTCCTTGGGCAGGGGAGGGGGCAGGTTCTGGCCTGTGCTCCCCCCTCATGCCCCGCCCCGGGGCCCAGATTCCGGCGTCCGGGGGCGGACGGGAGACGCCCGGCCCGTCTACCCGCCCCGGGCCGCGTCTGCTCCGACGGGCGGGGCAGCCAGAGCCAGGGAGGGAGAGGGAAGCCCGCCCGGGCTCGGGCTTTGCGACCTGCCCCGGGGCGCCCCACCCTGAGACTCAAGACCTCCAGGTCCTCCTCCCTCAGATCCAGGCGTTCAGGCTCCAACCCTCCTCCCTCAGACCCGGGAGTCCAAACCTCAGTTCTCCTCCCTCGGAACCTGGAGTTCAGGCTCCAGCCTTCCTCCCTCAGTCCTTAACAGTCCAGACCCCATACCTCCTTATTTAAAGTGTCTGGGTCCCAGCCTTTCTCCCTCAGACTCAGAATCCAGCCTCCATCCCTCCTTCTACAAGCCGTAAAGTCCAAACCTCAGTCTTGCTCCTTCAAAACCAAAATTCTGGACCCCAGCCTACCTCACTCAGACCCAGGTTCTGTATTCTAGTCCTTCCTCAGAGGAAGGAATCTAGACCCCACTTCACTCCCTCAGACCCAGAGTTGGGCCTGATTTCTCTCTTTTTCTGTACCCAGGTGTTTGTCACCTGGTCCTGGTGGTGCTGAGCCTCTGGCCAAATAGAGCCATTGCCCCTGGGCCACCATCTGGCTCCCCTCGAGTCTCTTCAGATCCTCGTGCAGATCTGGACAGCGCTGTCCTCCTGACCCGATCCCTTCTGGCAGACACTCGGCAACTAGCCGCACAGATGGTAGGTTACTGGAGGGACAGGGCTGGGACTGTTAAGAATGAGAGTCACTTCTTTCTCTCTTGGGCACCCGAAGACCAGGAGAGCCTGGGGTTCCCCTCACAGCTTCTTTCTCACCAGAGAGACAAATTCCCAGCGGACGGAGACCACAATCTGGACTCCCTGCCTACCTTGGCCATGAGCGCTGGGACACTGGGATCCTTGCAGGTGAGAGCTGCTTGGCAGGGAGGACTGAATGACTGTTGGCGGAGGGGACCATGTGCCAGCTCTTCTGTAATTTCCATCCCTGGTCATCAGCTTCCAGGTGTGCTGACAAGGCTTCGAGTAGACTTGATGTCCTACCTCCGGCATGTGCAATGGCTGCGCAGGGCAGGTGGTCCATCCCTGAAGATTCTGGAGCCAGAGCTGGGTGCCCTGCAAGCCCGGCTGGACCGGCTACTTCGTCGTCTACAGCTCTTGGTATGTTTTAACTCTGTGACCCTTTGCCTCCATTTTGAAACCTCTGACCCCCAAGAAACAGTGGTCTGAGACTTTGATTCTCAACATTTCAGGATCCCAGACTGACTTTGAAAACCCAGCTCCCCCCCACATCTGATCCCTGAAAATGAGACACCCATGATCCCATAACCATGAAACCTTGAGGTCCCAAGACCCCCAGAGTCCTTCAGAACATCTCTTAACTGACCCTCAAGGCTCCAAACTGTCACAGTCCATGACCTGTGTCCCCCAAATCCCTGCACATGGTAATGTGAACCCCCCAATCCTGACAACCTGTCTGAAAGTCTAGACCCTAGACCCTGAATCCCAGGACCTGAGGCCCATGAAACCTACCCTGAGTCCTTCGAATCCAAGTTTTTGGATGAGAATTAGAGGTGTAGGCCCTAGGATGCCTGAAGCTGTAAACCTTTGATTTCTGAAGTCTCAGATCCCAGCCCCGAGAGCCTCATATCTCAAGGGCCCAGTCCCGGCCCCTAAAATTCAGGATCCTGACTCAACCAGCCTTGAGACTCACTCTACGATGCCAAAACCTCAAGTCTAGACCCTAGCTGAGCATGGTGACTGTTGCCTATAGTCTCAGCACTCATAGGCAAGACATAGGGGACTGTCACAAGTTTCAGGCCAGCCTGGTCTACTTAGTGAATTCCAGGATAGCTATAGCTACATAGCAAAACCCTGTCTCAAAAAAACCACATCCAGGTATGGGAGGCAGCACCTGATGGTACTCCTGTTATTTGGGAGGTGACCACAGAAGAAGGAGAGTTCAAGGTCATCCTTGGCTGTTAGCGAGTTGAGGCCAGTTGGGCTATATGAAATCTTGTCTCAGAATAAATATCCCAGTCCTATGTCTCATTTCAAATATTATGAGGTTAAAAAATATCAAACTCTAAATTTTAAAACCTCATGAAGTCTTCAAACTTTAGTGCTTGACTGCAAAGACCCATAGATCTCAAATTCTTTTTATTTCATTTTTAATAGTTATTTATTTATTATGTAGACAACATTCTGTCTCCATGTATGCCTGCAGGTCAGATCTTATTACAGATGGTTTGAGCCATCCTGTGGTTGCTGGGACTTGAACTCAGGACCTCGGAAGGGCAGCCAGTACTCTTAACCTCTGAGCCATTTCTCCAGTCCCAGATCTCAAATTTTTGTTCCTAGCCCCAAGCCTTAGACATGGTCCCTAGACTCCAAGCTCTAAAACTCTAGCCCTGACCTCTCTTGAGAACTTGAGAAGACCTGGCAAGCACCAGGATCACAGCCTTCATTCCCTAGCCCCTAACTACTTGGCCTTTAGGACAGTAACCTTGGTGTGTGTGTGTGTGTGTGTGTGTGTGTGTGTGTGTGTGTAAGCCTGGAGGCAGAAATCAACATGATCATCTTCGTCAATTAATCATGTTCTGCCTTTTTTTTTTCATATTCTTTTTTTTAATGAGCAGGGTTTCTTGTAACCCAAACTGCTTTTTCTATGTAGCCTTGAACCTCTACCTCTGGAGTGCTGTAATTACAGATGTGAACCACTGCATCCAATCCAGCTTCAGTTCTCTGAACCCCAGACCCTGAAGAGATCTTAGACCTAAACCCCTTGCCTTTTGCTAACCTTGTTTTTCCCTCTTTGACAGACATCTCGCTTGGCTTTGCCCCAGGCAACCCCAGACCAACCCACGGTCCCCTTGGGCCCTCCTGCTTCAGCTTGGGGAAGCATCCGGGCGGCTCACGCCATCTTAGGAGGCTTGCACCTGACCTTGGACTGGGCTGTACGAGGCCTGCTGTTGCTGAAGACTCGGCTGTGACTCAAGACTGAAAGCCACCACCGATATCATCTTTTAAAGCCACATTTTTATTTATTTATTTATTTTGTTACTTGGGGGGGCTGATCATCAGGGGCATGCCACACCCCACACAAGCCGACACCCAGCTAGATACATTTCCAGGAGACCTGGGTGAGGGGGGGAATCACCTGTGTGGCTTATTTATACTTATTTATTTAAGGGATCGGGGTGGGTGGGGGTGGGAGGATCTGAGATCCTAGATTCTGGGGTCTCTATGAAATTTGTCCACAGTGTCTTCCTTGCTTCCTCCATTATTTATTAAACAATTACTTTTTATATTAAGTGGGGAAGGAAGCCTGGGGCTTTATATCAAAACGTGAGAAGTTTTGGTAAGACATAAAAGGGGGTGATTTAAATACATATCCACTTAGAGGTAATTAGCAGGGGGAAGCCAAAATGATCTGTATCTGACCTGGTGCCTAGCACGTCAAAGCTCCTCAACGGATATTTAACAGAAGGTTCCAGAATATCACCTTAGAACTAATAGCACCTGCATGGTACAGAGATGCAAAGTGCAAGGTTGTTTTCGGCGACATTCATGCCGACCAATAGGAACCAACGGAGATTCACGAGTGGGGGATGCACGAGTGAAAAGATACATCCACGTGATGGAATACTAACTAGCCAGTCTTAAAACGTCCAGGCAAAGGCTGAAGAGCGGCAGATGGTAGAACCACTCTTTCTATACATAAGTATGGATTTATTTTTCAAAATGGAAACACCAAAACGTTGACAATGACTGTCTCAGGGTTGAAAACACGAGATGGGACTGTGGGGTGACTTTTATTTTTTTTGTGCTTTTATTTTCCAGAGTTTTTATTGTGATTGTATTTTGCATGACACATTTAAAAACAATAATAAACACTATTTTTAGAATGAGAGAATATCACTCCCTGTCTCACCCCACCGTACATGTGCCACAAGAAGAAAAGGCCTCAGAATAGAACAAGAAATATGGTTACTCGAGCTCATGTTCTGGGTCATGCTGAGCCTGGATTTTTTTTTTTTTGAACTTAGACAATTGTCCCAAATCCTCAAAACAGGCCTTGTTTTATAAAAGAGAGAAATTGAGGCTCCAATGGGAGGAGTTGGTTTCTGCAGGGATTTTGTTTTGTTTTATTTTGTTTTTGAGTCTTATCATGAGGTTCTGGCTGGCCTGGACCTCACAGAGATCTGCCTGTCTCTGCCTACTGAATTCTGGGATTAAAGATGTGTGTCACCATGCCCAGCTTGTTGCTGTTATGGCCACATAGGTAGTTGACCTATGTCGTTATGGTGCTGGAATTGAACCCAGGACCTTGTGCATGCCAGACAAGTATTTTACCACTTAACTACAACCCAAGCCCTTGGTTTTATTCATTCATTTATTTTGAGGCAGGGTATTGTTATAAAGCCTAGGCTGGCCTCAGACTTATAATTTTCCTCACTCTGTATCCCTAGTGCTGGGAATATAGTTGTAGTCACTATTCTCAGTCATGTTGGCCCTTTCTTTACAGTTCACTGTTCAGTTGATGTGAGATCGTGCAAGCAAACACACACATACACACACACACACACACACACACACACACACATCATTGGGAAACTGAGGCTCAGCATGGTGCTGGGTCTTGCTGAGGAGGAGGGACACTGGCAGAGCTTGGCCTGTGATTCAAGTCTTTGGGCTAATGGTCCCTGTATAGGTACTAACACAAACCCCTATGGTGATGGTGTCTGTATCACCACAATTTTGGGTCCAGAGAGGGGATGCTCTGATGGAGTCAGCCTATCCCAACTTTGAAGACTCCATATTCTGGAAGGATGTGGCCCCTGGATAGTTCCCAGGAAGCAGCCTCTTGGTGTCTAGTGAGGTCACAAAGCCCCTGTCAAAGGTTCCTCCCACAGCCTAGAGCTGACTACCTCTCTGCAGGGCCATGGCCATACCAGAGTCTCTCAGCCCTGGGGACACTCCACTTTCTGTCACTGCCGAGCTCCTGACATCCTTGAAGCCCAGGGGTCCAAGACTGGTGGGCTGGGGTGGGTCCTGGGTCCCTGAATCTATACACCTCCCCCTGCTGTTCTGACAGCCGTCATGAAACGGCTGTTGAACATTCGGCGAACCCAGCCTCCCCAGGACCCCCAGAAGTGGGTTCCCATTCTTGGGGAGCTGCAGAAGACCCTCCAGAAGGGCGAGTACCTGCCCCTCCGCCCGCTGCCCATGTTCGAGAGTAACTTTGTCCAGGTCCCCTGCTCCCTGCGCCCCGGGAAATGGGGGAGGAGGGTTGAAACACAGGAAGAGAGAGGGGACCCCCCCCCCAGACTGAGTGGGTTTGAACGGGGATTTGGAATTTGAACTTCTGTAGGTAGGAAGTGGGTTTGGAAAGAAAGGAGACTCTCAGGTGAGGGGATGCTGGAGGCATGTTGGAGAAAGGACTGGTCCCAGCCCTGCTCCCTGGCTGCCCCAGGTGACCAATCATGGGGCTCCTGCATTCGTGCACCACAGACCCAACAAGCTGACTATGGGTGTAGCGGCATCTTTGCCTGGTCTAGTGCTGCCTGACATTCTCTTGCTTGCTCGGCCCCCGGAGGGCAAAGATTGCTCCAGTCTCAACCTGACCAGGTATGTTCCTCCTCGTTCCTCGAGCTCTACCCCAAGCTCACTCCACTCTCCACATTACCTTGGCACTAGCTACCCGGGAGGTCTCCCACCTCCCGCAGGATGATCCCGCTAGACCTTGCCCACCTCTATGTCCACGATCTGCCCTCCTGGCGCCTGAAGCTTCGTCTGATCACCGGTCGCTACTACTACCTGGAACTGGATGCCCCTGATCATGAGCTAGACTTCCTGTTTGACCGCTGGATTCGCCTCATCAACTTGCTTCATGAACCTACCATATCTTGGGCACCCAGGACCATGAACACGCCCCCCCTGGACGCGCCCCTAGACGGAGCGCCGGCCTCCACCTGGCGCCTTCAGGTGGGATTCAATGAGGCGGGATTGGAGACCACTGTCCTGATTCCACAGAGAACAGAGGCACCATTGCCCAAAGCTTGAGGGATGGGGTGGACAGGAAAAGGAGCTGGGTTCCTAGAATGCTGGGTCTGAAAGGAGGGTCTAAACTCACGGGACCAAGGAAGGAAAGTTAGGGATGAAGTTGCTGGCTGGATAGGTAGCAACCAGAAACCATGGGGCAGGGAAAATAACTCGGTTGATAAAGAAATTGCCTTCAGAGTATCAGGACCTGAGTTCAAGCCCTCATAACCCACATAAAAAGGCTAGCTGTAGCAGTACATGCTTGTAATCCCAATGTTGGGAGGCAGAGACAGGTAGATCCCTGGCCTTGCTTGAACCTACTTTGTATATTGATTCCAGCCAGTGAGGAAAACCTGTCTCAGAAGAAAGAAACTATAAAAGGTAGACAGTTTCTGAGCAATGACACCTGAGGGTGTCCTCCGACCTCCACATACACACACCTGTACACACACACACACACACACACACACACCAGAAAAAGTGGCCAGGCACCCAGGCACATACCTGTAATCTCCAATGTTTGGGAGATGAAGGCAGGAGAAGAGGGCTCTAGCCAGGTGTGGCTGCATGTGCTTTTTAAGCCCAGCATGGGGGAGGCAGGGGCAGGTAGATCTCTATGCCTTTGAGGTCAATCTGGTTTACAAAGAGAGTTCCAGGACAGCCAGGGCTGTTACACAGAGAAATCCTGTCTCAGAAAACCAATACCAAAACAAAGGAACAACAACACACACACACAAATTTGAGGCTGGTCTGGTTTATACCCTCAACTCATTAGCCTCTTTCCACTCTTTTTCGTGTATGTGTGTGAGCACTGGGGTGCTGCTTCTCGCCTACCATGTGGATCCTGGGGAGAACACTCAGGTCATCAGACGCAGCAACAGGTGCCTTTACCTGCTGTGTCTCTTAGCAGTCCTTGGCCCTACTTCCCATTTTGGGGAACAATTTCTATTTTTTTTTTCTGAGACACAGTTTTTTTTTTTTCTCTCTGTGTAGACTGGCTGTCTTGGAACTTGCTTTGTAGACCAGGCTGGACTCGAACTCACAAAGATCTGCCTGCCTCTACCTCCAGAGTGCTGGGATTAAAGGTACAAAGGTACACACCATCACTGCCCACCAATTTCCATTCTTTTTTTTTTTTATTTAAAGAAAAAAAAGAGGTTTGGTGGCTCGTGCTTGTAGTTCCCAAGACTTGGGAGGCTGAAGCAGGAGGATTGTAATGAATTTGAGGCCAGTCTAGCTACGTAGTGAGTTTCAGGTCATCATAGGCTTTAGGGTGAGACCCTGTGTTAAAACAAAAACAAAAGCCAAAGGAAGAGCTGGAGAGGAAGGTGAGCCCATAAAGGGCTTACCTTGCAAGTTCAAGAATCTAAATTGTACCCTGTCTCCAAAATTCATGTACAAATGCTCGGTGTGAGCCAGTAAGAAGGCTCAGTGGGTAAGAGCATCTGCCTCCAAGTCTGTCAACCTGGGTTGGATCCCCTGTCCCACATGGTGGAAGGAGGAGAGAGGCAACTGCTAAAAGCTGTCCCTTGACCTCCAAAGAGGTACCATGGCATGTGCACTTCCCCAAAATAATAAATAAATGCAATAAAAATGCTAAGGGCAGCATAAGGGTGGTGGTGGTGCACACCTTTATTCCCAGCACTTGGGAGGCTGAGGCAGGCGGATCTCTGTGAGTTCGAGTCCAGCCTGGTCTACAAAGCAAGTTCCAGAACAGCTAGTACTGTTACACAAGACAAACCCTGTTTTAAAAAAACAAAACAAAACCAAAAAAAAAAAAAAAACCGGGCAGTGGTGGCATGCCTTTAATCCCTGCACTTGGGAGGCAGAGGCCGGCAGAAACACTGTCTCAAAAAACTAAAAAGAGAGAGAGAAAGATTGAGAGAGAGAGAAACACAAAACACCCAAAACAAACAAACAAAAACCCCAAATATTAAGGGCCTGGAAGGGGAAAGGGAAAGGAGGTTCAGTGGTTAAGAGCACATACTGTGGGTGGTGGCGGCACATTCCTTTAATTACAGCTCTTGGGAGGAAGAGGCAGGAGGACCTCCGGGCGTTCAAGACCAGCCTGGTCTACAAAGCAAATTCCAGGACAGCCACAGCGATTACACAGAGAAACCCTGTCTCGAGAAACAAACAAACACACTCTGCTCTTGCTGAGGACCCATGTGTGCTGAGAACTCAGAGTGGCACTAACCGCCTGTAACTCCAACTTGAGTGTTAGCCAAAGGCTCTGCCCGACATTGGCTCCTACATTAACATGACATGGTATACATAGATGTAGGCACTCATACATACACATAAAATGAATAAATAGGGGCTGGAGAGATGGCTCAGGGTTAAGATCACTGGCTACTCTTCCAGAGGACCTGGGTTCAATTTCCAGTACCCACATGACAGCTCATAACTGCCTGTAACTCCCGTTTCAGGAGATCTGACACCTTCACACAGACACACATACATGTGGGCAAAACACAAAATGCATGTGAAATAAAAAAATGACTAAATAAACAAATCTTAAACTAAAATAGAATAAAAATAAGAAGGGGGACCAGTAAAAGACCTCAACAAACTGCCCCTTCTGTCCACAGGATCAATCTGGAAGCAGACTTACAGGTGAGCCACCTCTGTCAAAGGTTAGGCCACCTTCCTCTGCGTGTTAGGAACCCTCTCCCTCAAAGCATGGGTGGAGTGTAAACTCTTTGGCAGTTTCTCCTGCACACCCTGGCAGAGCTCACTTCTCACCTTGTCCTAGGAGCTTGCTCCATGTCACTGCCCCCTGAAGTCCTTGAGACTCTCTCTCTCTCTCTCTCTCTCTCTCTCTCTCTCTCTCTCTCTCTTTCCAGTTGAAGTGGCTCAGCGTACCTTCCCTTACAAGATATTCTCTTCTCAAAAACAAAGGAAGACCAAGGTGAGGCAGCCAGGGTTCTGTGTGTGTGTGTGCCATGCGCGTGGGGGTGGGGGTGGGGCTGGCCCTCCCCTGACTCTGACTCTCTCCTCTCTGCCCACGGACAGACAGTCAAGCACACACTCAGGTCTCAGGCTGTGGGTGACTCTCTGCCTCTCATCTGGTCACAACTGAAACCTCCTGAGGATCAGATGAAAGTCACAGAAAAGAAGTAGGCAATGAGCATTTGGGGCTGGTTATGTTTAGGACCCTGGCTCACACATTGCTAATATCCTGCCATGTTACTTCTGTAGATCCTACCTAAATGCCTGCCATGACAGATCCAAAACTCTCATCCGCGTTTCTGGTATGACCAATGCCCACCCTCTGCCACCAGCATGAGCCTGCTTGTGAATTTAATCCCTTTCCCAGAGGGCTCACACTTCTTTCTGCCCTACAGAGAAGGCCAGCTTCACCATCCGAACCATCTTTAGCATCATCTCCGGCACGATGAACCAGGAACACTCCAATTCAAAGGCCAGTTATTCATTAGGAGCTAGGGTCTAGACTCCAGTGTCCAAGGGAGGAGGGCTGGACCTGGACTCCAGGGTCCAAAGGAGGAGGTTTGGGATGTGGACTCCAGGGTTCGGGGTTCAAGGGAGAAGGATGGAAAGAAGAAAGGCTGAAAGACAAGATTCCCAAGCTTTGTGTCTCCCCTGGTCCTTAGCATGCCCATCCCATCCGTCTACAGACCTACAGATCGGATTCTGAGGGAACCACAGGCCGGGGCGGTCTTATCGAGACTCCCACACAGTGTATCGCTCATGACAGCCCTGGTTTACCCATCATCGACTCCTGTGATCACATGGACACCTTCCTGTGGACACAAGACCTTGATGAGCTCATGGACACTGAATCCACCTCGTTGTCTTCTTCCTTGTACACATCTCCTTACCCTCCTGCCTTATACATCTTTCCGAAGTCCAATGACAAGGCCATGCCCATAGGCTCGGTGAAATACATGGGGCCACTGTCCTCCCAGAAGGCTGCATCTGCCCCCATCCCACCAGGGAAAGCACCATTCATTTTGGACCAGTCTACTAAGGTACCAGCTGAGCCAGCTCCAGCTCAGAAGGCCCCAGCCCTCCCTGCTCCAGCTCGGAAGACCCCAGCTGCACCATGGTCAACCCAGAAGTCTCCAGCCAAACCTAGCCTCTTCTATAAGGTTCCACCTTCTATTTCCCAGAAGCCCCCATCTATCCCTGCACCCCCGCGGAAGGCCCCAGTTCTAGTTGCTCCACCCCAGAAAACTTTACCCCCAATTCCAAAGCTTCTACAAGTACCTGCAGGTCCTCAAAAGGCCACACCCCCAAAGAAGGAACTTCTAGTCCTAAATACTCAATCTCAGAAGGCTCCAACTGCCCGGTACCAGAAAACTCCCGATTCAAGGGCAAAGGCCCCTGAGGATACTAGCGTGTTACCGGCAGGAGACATGCTTGAGAGAAAGTCTGAAGGGAAACAGGAACCTGTTGTGTTGGTGAGAGGGCAGAAGACAAAAGTGGTAGATATGAGGGCCCAGGCCACAGCCCTGCAGTTGCCCTCTGCCACCACCAAGAAGCAATCCAAGGAGATCTTGATTAGCAAAACCCAGGAGGTCACTCTGGAGGCCTTGACGTGCAGGGGCAAATCGGAGGACAGGGCCTACGAGATGAGGGAAGAGACAACTGTGAACTTGCCTGATATGAAGTCCAAGGAGATAGAGAAGCAGAAGAAATGGGTCTTGACCCAGGAGGTAGCTGTTGAGGGCCTCCACACAGAGAACAACAGGGCCTTCTCTGTGGAGGGTCTCGCCCTGGCCAAGATGATGATCATGGCCAAATCCAAACAGCAGCACCTGAAGCCAGATACCATATCTCTGCCCTCCTGGTTCTCCATGACTTCCAGGGGGTCTGCCATGTCTGTGCTGGCCGATTTGCCCTTTAATGCCAGCCAGATGGCCTTACCAGAAGATACACAGGTAGTGGTCAGGTCCCCTACTAAGGTGAAAGAGAACACACAGCTCCAGGTGGAGGAGAAGCCACCTGAGGATTCGCTGAGGACTTTCAAGGAACCCATAATTGAGTTGCCAAAGACTGACAGCCCAAAGGTGGGTAAAACTGTTCAGTTTCCCACCACCATGACCACCTCAGGTTTGGAGAACACTTCCCGGCCAATGACACCCCTGACATCCCTGACGTCTCCCATCACCAAGACAGGCTCCTCAGTCAGGGTGCCCCAAAAGCCTGGAGTGAAACATCAAGGGCTCAAGCAGGCACAAACACAGCAGCAGCCTCTGGCTGTCGTGGGATCAACCTCAGAAGTTCTCTTGCCCATTGTCTTGGAAATGGAGAATAAGAGAAAAATGTCCATGAAAGAGGAGATTCTGGTAAAGGAATCTGGCATCCCTCATGCTCAGGTATTTGACATTAGCAGCTGGTATCCACTATCAACTCTAATATACATATGCATACAGAGAGGGAGAGAGAGAGAAAGAGGGGGGAGGAGAGCAGGTTCTCAAGATTGAATTCAGTCCATTGTGTATGCTAAGTGCAAACTTTACCATTGAGCCAACTCACGACTGCCATCACTAGACAGGAAGTAGATATGAAGTGTTGACTGTGTGGTGGGCATTGCCCTAAGCAGTGGGGATACAGAGCCCAATGATAAGGGTGGCAGAAGCAGATTATACCACTTGGCACCTAGTGGTTAAGGGATAAGGCATGTTGCTAAATATTTGCAATGCAGAGGACAGACCCCACCACAGCACAACGGCCTAAGGTGGCTCAGCCTTAGGGCTGGAGTCATTTGTGTAAAGACATGAAAGAGGAGACTGGAGGTGTAGCTCAGATGGCAGGGTACTTCCGGAGCATGTACAGAGCCCTGAGTTGGAACCACCCGACCCTGAAGGAAACAAGGTGTAGTGGCCCAACATGCCTGTACTCCTGGCCATCAGGAGGTGAAGGCAAACGGAGTGGGAGTCCAAGACCAGCTTTGGATAAACATAGTGAGTTGGAAACCAATCTGGACTACGTGAGACCTAGTCTCCAGACAAAACAAAAAGACCTGTGGGGAAAATGGAAGCAGCGAGAGCATCTAAGGGGAGGAGAGTTCGCGTAGAGCAGTGTTTCTCAACCTTCCCAATACTGACCTTTAACACAGTTCCTCATGTGGTGGTGACCCCCAACTAACAAATTCTTCCATTGCTACTTCATAACTGAAATTTTGCTACTGCTAAGAATTGTAATGTAAATATCCCATGTGCAGGCTATCTGATATGAGACCCCCAAAGGGGTCACGACCCTCGTGTTGAGAACCACCAGGTAGAAGGAGCAAAGTCCTTTAGGCGGAAGCATGCATGCTCACTGCTCCTTTATTGAGTGTACCCTACACAGAGTCCTAACATAGGAAATGCTGTCACGGTGAGCCACTGGGTGTTGGGGGGCATGCCTGAGAGCCTACAGGAACTGAGACAAGTTTAAGGATGTTGGCTTTGACTATGAGCAAGCTGGAGGTTTGGGTCAGAATAATTGGAACTGATTAATGTGGAAAGGGCTACCTGCTGGGCTCCAGAATGGAATGTAGAGGCAATGAATGGGAAGAGTGTTTATGTCGGAGGCCACCCAGGAGGTGATGGTGACTAGGACAAGAGAGTATTGAGAAGCCTAGGAGTCCACAGAGGCTGTCAAGGGTAAGGTGACACGTGATGCTTAAGGAGCCATGCATCACTTTTCTCCATACTATGAAAAAATACCAGACAAAATGAAGGAGTGGTTTATTCTGGTGCACAGGTTGAGTTGAGGGTCCAGCTCTAATCATGGTGGGAAGTTACTTTTCTCTCCTCTCTCTCTCTCTCTCTCTCTCTCTCTCTGTGTGTGTGTGTGTGTGTGTGTGTGTATGCTTGCTTGTGCATGCAAATGTATAAGACAGTCAATGTTGGGTGTCTTCCTTGGTGACTTTCCCTTTTCTTTTTTTGAGACAGTTTCTCACTGAATTTAGAGCTTGTCATTTGGACATCCAGCTGTGTCTACCCATGCTTGCTGGATTACAGGGGTGTGCTTTCGGTAGGTCCTAGGGCCCAGAGTCAGGCCCTCATGCTCTTACAACAGGCGGTTTACCCACAGAACCTCCTCAGTCTCATTTTCTCATCTTCCTTCAGTCTGACACTCCAGACTGCAGAATGGTGTCATCTACCCTGAGAGTGGGTCTTCCTCCTTCCATCAGACCCTCACAGATGTACCCAGAAGTTTGTCTCCTGGGTGATCCTCGATTGCATCAGGTTGACAATATTAACCATTTCCGATGTTGAGGATGGCTGGGATGTTTGTAGCTTCGGAGAGCTGCAGAATGCAAAAGCCACAGGCAGCAGTGGGGACAAGACAGCAAATGGAGGAGTCAGGGAGGTGATTCTGAGGTGATGGGGGAAGATGTGAAACAAACAGGTAATGGGGTGTGGGAGTCTAGAATTCAGGGGAAGTGACTTGGGGGAAGTTATCAGCCTGTGAGGATTGTGAGATGGGAGGTCACCAGCAGAGACAAAGCGAGTAGGGGATATAATGCATGGGGTAGACTGCTTGCTTGCCTAGCATTCAGGCAGGAGGCCCCTGGATTTGACCCTAGCACCAAATAAAAGTGGGTGTGGTAGTCCAGACCTAGCACTTGGGAGGCAGAGGCATAGGAGGAGGAGCCCAGGTTTCCCTTTGGCTCTGTATCAATATCCAGACCAGCCTGTACTATGAAGTGACCCTGTCTCAAACAAAGAAAATAGGAGCCCTTGTGATGGCTCAGTGTGGGTAAGAGGGCTTGTCACCAAGCCTGGCACAGCCACCCACGTTCCATCCTTGGGACCCATAGGGTGGAAGGTGAGAACGAACTTCCACAAACTGTCCTCTGATATATGCAAGCCCCCATGCCATGTCACCCCTCCCTTTAATCACAGCACTCAGAAAGCAGAAGCAGGTGGATCTCTGTGAGTTAGAGACCATCCTAATCTACAGAACCAGTTGCAAGCCAGCCAATTTCTAGGCCATGGTGAGACCTTGTCTCAAGAAGAAAAAGAAAAGTGAAAATAAAAATAATCATATACCAAGTGAAAGAAACACCCCAAAAGCCAACCAAATAAGATTATATTTCTACCCATGGAGACAGAAAGATGGTGGTTTAAAAGTACTTAGAAAGCCGGGCGGTGGTGGCGCACACCTTCAATTCCAGCACTCAGGAGGCAGAGGCAGGCGGATCTCTGTGGGTTCGAGGCCAGCCTGGTCTACAGAGCTAGTTCCAGGACAGGTCCCAAAGCTACAGAGAAACCCTGTCTCAAAAAACAAAACAAAACAAAAATGCTTAGAAACCAGGCAGTGGTAGTGTATGCCTTTAATTCTAGTACTCAGGAGGCAGAGGCAGGAGGATCTCTGTGAGTTCAAGATCAGCCTGGTCTACAGAGTGAGCTCCAGGACAGCTAGGGCCACACAGAGAAACTTTGTCTGAAACCAAAAATAAATAAATAATTTTAAAAAGTGCTTAGAGAGGTAGGAATGGGGAACGACTTCTAATGTGCTGGAAGTGGGGTGAAGGGTGATCAAAACATTTTGGAACTAGAAAGGAGTGATAAATATATTGACCAACTTTTAAGGTGTAAATAACAGCTGTGAAATATATATATATATATAATGTTTTTTGAGAGAGCGTTTCTTTGTGTAGCTTTGGAGCCTGTCCTGGAACTCCTTATGTAGACCAAGCTGGCCTCCAACTCAGAGATCTGCCTGACTCTGCCGTGTGTGTGTGTGTGTGTGTGTGTGTGTGTGTGTGTGTGTGTGTGTAAAACTTCTATACTCTTGGGAACCTGTCTCTTTGCCAGTCCCCTAAAACATTCTCTGCCTTTCTCTCCCCACAGTAAGCAGCGACCCAAGGATTTAAGATAACATAATTCAGGAGACTCTATCAACAAATTGTCCAGAAGCCCAGTGGGACCAGGTATCCCTGAGACCCGGAAGATCTGGACCTGGAGGAGTGGGTCTCAGGAACCAGGAATCATCTTCCCTTTCCTCCTTCCCTCACAGGCCCGCAGGGTGCTGTGCACCCCGACTGTAAGACACAGACGACTGAGAACACCGTGTGTGGTGGTGGGGAAGCCTCCCCCTCCCAGTAGAGACCAGAGCTAGATAGACGTTTATATACCGGGAAGGGTGGGGCGGGACAGATGTCAGGGAGAAGCTCAGCTTTGCAGAGATTAAAAGTCTTAGTCTAAGACTCAAAAACCCAGCCTTGGTGCCTGTTAAGTGTGCGCGCTCGGGTGCACGGGTCGCCCAAGGGGGCATCCGGCAAGAAGTAGGGGGCGGGGCCTCCACTAACCCCACCTCCACATTACAGAGGGATCCAATTGGCTGGGACTCCCTGGGGGCCAGCCAATCCGACCTGAGGGTCGTGTCGCTCCCGTGCTCTTGGGACCAGCCCTCACTCTCGAGCTAAAGGCACCGGTGGACTCCCCGCAGCCCTGGTATTCCAGCTACGTTTAGTTTGTCCACCTCAGTGTGGTGAGGCCAAGGTGGGTGGGGTTTACTGTGGGTCAGGATCTGGGAAAGGTCGGAGCGAGGGGCGCCCCTTAGGACCCACGGAGCCCCGCATCCCTTTCTGCAGGAGCTGACCCTTCCGTGGATGTTGAAGCCCAGATGCCCCCTTCGGGCGAATGGAAAACGCCCCCCTTCGACCCGCGCTTCCCTAACCAGAACCAGACGCGTAACTGCTACCAGAATTTTCTGGGTGAGACCTGTTGGGCCCTATTAGAGGGGAGGCCCCCACCTGGAGACCGTTGAAATGGGAGGCTGGGTCGTGGCCTGAAGGGGCGGGGCCTGCACCGAAGTGGGTGGGGCTGAGCCGTGAAGGGGCGGGTCCTGGAGTGGAAGAGATCGCCTGTCTGGAGACCATAAGATTGCCACCCTAGAGTGAAATGAACTAAGCCAGGAGAGATGGAACCTTGTCAGTAAAGGGCAAAACCAGGAGTGAGGAGGTTAGGTCGAGAGAAAAGGAGCGGGGTCTGAGGTCAAGGGAGGCACCTGATGTGGAGCTGGCTGGAACTGGGTCCTGGAGGGGCAAGGTGAAGCAGACAACCAAAAGGGACCGGACCTTGTTAGGTGGTAGAGCTAAGTCAAGATGGAAATTTGGAGTAAGGGGAAGTCTACAGTGGGAGGAGGAACCCGATTGGTTGGAAGAGTAAGAGTGTAAGACTGAGTCCTAGAATGGGTAGGATGGGGCCAATGTCTAGAGGGGCGTGGCTTGTCTCATGACACTCCCACCCCCACCCCGAGGCACTCTGCAGACTATCACCGGTGCGTGAAGACCATGAACCGCCGCGGGAAAACCACACAGCCCTGCGAGTACTATTTCCGCGTGTTCCATTCACTGTGTCCCGTCAGCTGGGTGAGAGGGCGGAGCGAGGCTGGTGGAGAGGGCGGTGAGCCCAGACTCAGGCTGAGCAGATGCTGGGGGGACCTCTGCTTCTCCAGGTGCAGCGCTGGAATGAGCAGATCAAGCAGGGGACTTTCCCGGGCAAAATCTGACTGTGCACTTGAGCGCTGCTCCCCTTGAGGCATCATCCCCCAGTAACCACTGTCCTCTCACCAAGCCCCAGCCTGGGTTACCCATCTCCTCTCTGTCTCTACGCCACAAATAAAGTCATGATGCTGCTATTGTTTGCTTGTTTTCTTTCTTTCCGGTTTTGTTTTTGAGACGGAGCCTCTCTCACTAACCCTGGAACTCACTCATGTGCTCGACTAGCTGGGATTCTCGTCTCTGACTCCCCAGCACTGGGATTACAGTCATGGGCGCTGAACTAGGCTTTTTATGTGCACGTTGGGGATCCAGACTCAGGTCGTCATACACGCATGGCAAGTGCTTACTTGCTGAGCCCCCTAACACCTTTTGATCATGGGGGCAAGGAGAAGGATTGCTGCTCCAGAGTTAAGGCAGTCAAAAGCAGGTAGACAGAAACAAGCTTAGAGGCTCTTGGGTTCTGCCTGTGGTCATGAAGTCAAGATCTCAACATTTAAGGTAGCCCATGCCTTTACTTTAGTCCAGCCTTAAGGGGCAGGAGCACGTGAATCTCTGAATTTGAAGCTAGCCTGGTCTACATAGTGAGTTCAAGGCCAACCAAGGCTATAATACACAATGAAACCCTGACTCCCCCCCCCCCCCAAAGTCACAACTATAACAAAGTCTCTTCCACCTACAGGGTGTCCTGTCTGTCAATAGCCATACCTTCCTGCTACTCTTCGTCAAATGCCCATATCTCAACCTCCTCTTCTCCTGCCTGGGCCATCTTAGCTATCATACCCACCCATCCAGTCCCTGGTCCTGAGGAATCTATTCCATGATCCAGTGCTGATCCACTATTCCCTAACCACTCTGTACTGACACTATCAGCTTCCCACCATGCCCTACCTCCACTGGTCCCATTTCCCTCCAAAAACATCCTGCCCCACCACAAGAGCGCCCTTGTCCCAACAGGAGCCCAGAGCATTTTCCATCCTACAGCAGCCCTACAGTCCAGCACAACAGAATCCTGATTCAAAAAAGAAAAAGTATATGAATAAAATACATGTATGTACACACACCCCTTAAGTGCCTAGTGCACATGGGGGCTAGAAGTGGGCCTCCGATCTTCTGGAACTTAGAGCAGCCAATGTTCTTAACCACTGTGCCATCTCCAGCACCCTACCCGCTTTGATTTCTAGTGCAGGTCTACCCCTGTGCTCATATGGGGCCATCTGTCCCTTTACAGGTGACACTCCAGTTCTCCCACTGATCTCTTCAGCACTTTCATCTTAATCATTCTTTGATCCGCCCATCTTTTCCAGTCATCAACCAAATCATTTTGGTTCCAGTTCCAGTTGCTCCTTGGCCTATCTTCCAAACATAAGGAGTGACACCCTCTTCCTTTCTGTGGACAGGTTTATGTAGCCCTGGCTAGCCTTGAACCCATGGAGAGCCATGTACCCATCTGCCTCCTGTGCACTGGGGTTAAAAAGGGCACCACCACCCTGCCCGGCTGACTCCCAGGCCCCTTTTTTTCTGAGTAGGTGGGTGGGTGCTGGTGAGAGGTGGGTGCTGGTGAGAGGTGGCCGGAAGACGGCATCAGACGTCCTCGAGTGGTAGTTCCCGGGTGGAGATTATAAGCAGCCTGATGCCAAGCCCTCTGGAAAAACACCAGCCTTCTCTCCATCCTGAAGTCACCATTTGCTTCTTTATTATAAGTCTCCAGTAGCCAGGATAGCCTTGAACTCTTAATCCTCCTGTCTCTACTTCCCACAGCCACCAAGCCTAGCACCAGTAATCTTTAACAGAGCCAGAGGCCTCCAGGTCGGCTGTACTGGCACCAGCCCACAGCTACCAGCCTCCTGGCTAGACCTGAAGTAATCATCAAACTCTGTCTTAGAAGGCCTCATGTGACATTTACCTCCTTGTCACCTTCCTGAATGACCAACCCCAGTTTCCCTAGTTGTAAACCAGACAGCTCAGAGTCCCGTTATCAGAGGCAGGATGGGGGTTCTGGCTCGGTGGACTGGCTGGTCCCACCCTTGGATGACCTGTCTATCACCTGCCCCAGAGGCTGCTCACCACTCACCAAGGACACACCCCAGATGGCCCAGGATGATTACATCTAGACCTTAGCCTCAGTGTCTAACCACAACCAGAGACGGACAAGGAAGTACAGGGTGAGGACAAGGCTACAGGAAGATTCTGGTCACTCACCATCCCCACAGGCAACACTGCTGATAACCAGAGGACTTAATGATGTCACCCAGTTAAGTGGCTGGAGCACAGGCCCATTAGCTTTGCAGCCACCTTTGTCCTGCCCACAGACCTGGGTCTGAGTCCGTTTTCTCCCAATGTCCAGCTTTCCTCTACCTCTTCTCCTTTTCAGGTCCATAATACTCCCTGCCATGGTCACTTGACTATTTCCTGTCTCTTTCCAACACTTTAAAAACTAAAACTCATGGGGCTGGAGAGATGGCTCAGCAGATAAGAGCACTGGTGGTTCTTCCAGAGGACATGGGTTCAATTCCCAGCATAGCAGCTCACAACTGTCAGTGACTCTACCTTCAGGGGCTCCGACACCCTCACACAGAGATACATGCAGACAAAATACCAATGCACATAAAGTAAAAGCAAATACATTATACGAAAACAAAAAAGCTGAAACTCACTCTGTAGACCAGGCTGGTCTCGAATTCACAAAAATCCTCTTGCCTCTGCTTCTCGAGTGCTGGGATTAAAGGTGTGCGCCACCTTAAGGTGTCCAGAGCACACCTTTCCTCTAGCTCTTTCTACACCTACATCCACCCCCATCCACTGGGGTAAATTCCCAAGATCCCAGGGCTACACTCAGCTCTTTGTCTCACTCTGTAGTTCCTGGGACTGAGGGCAGAGGTCAGGACATCTCTGTTCTCAGGCTTTGTTCTACAGCTCCTCAAGGGCCCCTCCATTTCCAGACACTGGCTCTCCCGACCAGATCCTATGGCTTCTGGGGTCATCTGATCAACCTCCAAGGTTCAAGGGGAGAAGCAGAGACAGTTCCACAGAGGCAGCACCAGTTTCCACACTGGCTCTCTATTTCTTGGTTATTTCTTTTCTGGTACAGAGGATTAAATTTGGTATTTACCAAGCAAGCCCTCTACCATTGAGCTACACCCTGAAGCTCTGCTTCTTTTTTAACTTCTCGAGTACAACAGGGAATTTGAGGCCAACTGGGCTACATGAGACTTCCTGGGTTTCTGGGCCCGAGCTATGTAATCTCCCCAGAACCAGATTTTGCACAGGCTCACCAACTCCCTGCCCTCAAAGATTTTTTTCTTTAAACAGAGTCTACAAGGCCTTGGCTGGCCTGGTACTCCCTGTGTAGACCAGCTTAGCCTTGAACTCACAGACATCAACCTGCCTCTGCATCTTGAGTGCTGGGATTAAAGGGATGCCACCACACTAGGCCCTACACTAGAGGTAAGGGCACCTGACTGAGAGGTGAAAGGACAAGTCTTCACATGGCCTCAGGCAAGTCACTCTGCTTCCCTGTCATCAGCCACCATTTATCGCCTCACCTTACCACAACAGAGAACACTCTTGGTCATCTCCCCTAAGCATGGTTTTTTGTTTTTTTTTTTGTTTGTTTGTTTGTTTTTGTGGTCCCAGGGCTTTACCTTAGTATCGCAGTCCCCAGAACCCACTGCCCCTCCCTTCTTAAGGCTTGTCAGGGTAACTATCAGTGTCAAAGAATGCCACCTCATCTCCCCAGTGAGGCTGAGATCTCACCCTCCCACTTGACATCCCCCTAAAACACAAAAACTCCTAAGGGCTTAGAAGGTTTTAATAAAAAGTTCAAGTTCTTCCAATCCCCCATCATACCCCATTCTGGTGTGGGGAAGAGAGGGAGCCTCCCCTACACCCCAGTAGCACCAGGGATAGCACCGTGATAAAGATGAGGTCACACCTGGCCTCCCTGAGACCCATGGGGCAGGGCCAAGGATGTGCCCCTGGGTACCACCCACCCCATCTGACTGCCCCTGCCTCCAACAACTGCAGAACTGAGAGCCAACCTACTCCCTACTGTGGGGGCAGTTTGGGAGGGCAAACCCCCAAGTCAGTTGCACCTCCTGAGGCCTGAGCTTCTAGAGAGTCGCCATGGAGTGGCCCCCACCCCTTATGGCTTTGCTCCCTGGGGAGGAAGAGGCTGAGGGGAGGGGGATGGCTCCTGAAGTCCTGCGGTGGGGACAGGGATGGGGAGGGGGACATCAAATGGCCAGGGCTCCCTTGCTTGAGTGGGGTTGGCTCAGGGGTCAGCAATCATAGAGCAATGAGGATCAACTCCCTAGATATATCCTAAAAAACACACTCCCAGGATCAGACCTGGGTCAAGGGTCATCTCCTTCCTTCCCTTCTGGAGCGGTCCAAGACAGAGACTATACTCCAGTCTGGGCTCCCTGCAGGCAGTCCATCATGGCTCACCACTGTTGATGTCCAGATCAATGGAACCATGACTGACCACCAGCCGGAGGCGCTTAGGTGGGCAGAAAGGAGCAAAGGCAAGGGCCTGTTTAGGGACAAGGTCAGGGGTGGAGACAGGGGCTGGGTTCCCAGTAGGAGCAGGAGCAGCTGGTAGGGCTGGGGCTAGGCGGGTAAGGTCCACACGCACCACAGAAGGCAGCCCATAGCGCCGGGCCCAGTACCAGTCCTGTTGTGGGGTCCAGCGGGTCTTGGGGAGCAGGCGCAGGGCCACTGTGGCCTCACCCCGTAGTTGACAGTGGGGACCACAGCCTCCCCATTGGTGTAGGGAAACATAGGCAGCACGGAGGACAGGGGACAATGAGGTCGGGCGGATCCTGGGACGGCGACGCTTCCGGGGGCGAACTCTGGGCTGGGACTGAGGCATCCACTGGAGCCAGAGGGGCAAGTAGTCCAAGTGGGGGCTAGCAGGCAGCAGGCATGGGGGCTGGCAGGCAGCTGTGGTGGTCAGGGAAGGAAGAGAGAAATAAAGGGGGAAGCCGGTGAGCAGGGCTTGAGCAGTTCAGAAAAGCAGTGACCAAAAGGCTAGAGAACAGGGGTGTGCTCACCACAGAATGGGTCACGACGCAGTGGGGACAGGTGGGAGCAGGCCCGCAGGCCCAGAAGGCTCTGCTGGCTGTTGTCC